ACTCACGCACATTAACGTCCAAGCTTCTTGTTACTTCTTCCTTCAATTTGGCCATGGATTCTGGATTATCAGCTTCCTTCAGTGCAGTTGAATGTTTATATAATTGACGCACGCACAGTAAAATTTGCACAGCAGCTAAGTGTGAATTTCTGTTGTATTATTCCCATAATTTTTAACCACCATAGCTCGCGTCCGCATCATCATCATCAGGGAGGGGGCAAATGGCTACTGGGGATGGGGAAGAAGCTGACATCAATATTTTCTGCTGCATTTACACATTCACGCACATTAAGTACAAATCTCAGGCACATTAAGCACAACACTCACGCACATTGAGTTATATATATATATATATATATATATATATATATATATATATATATATATATATATATATATATATATATATATATATATATATATATATATATATATATATATATATATATATATATGGGATAGTTCACGTGTGAAGGAACTTTTAGATTAAAAATGAGGTGAGATCTAAGTCGTTGATCTAATTTAGATTAACGGTCAAGAATGAAGGTAACTTTTTTTTTTAAAACACTTCTTGGCAACTGACTGCGAATGATCTCTTGCCACCATTGTCGTTTTCTTCCTTATCTTCCTCTCCTGCTGCGAATTCAAACTTGTATTAGCATTAGATTTTGGAAAGGAAAATGCTAGATGTATTTCCAACAGGTATAAATTCTAGTGTACTGATTTTATTGGATAAAGTCATTCACTTAAAATTTCGAAGTTATACACTTTAAGTTTCAAAGTAATGCACCGTAAGTTTAAAATTGATGCACCTTAAGTTTCAAACTCATGCACCGTAAGTTTCGAATTGATGCACCTTAAGTTTCTAATTGATGCACCTTAAGTTTCAAACTGATGTACCTTAAGTTTCGAAATTATGCACCTTAAGTTCTAGTTCTAAATTATGCACTAAATCGCCATAATATCACCGTATTTTTTATTTTTTTTATTTTTCATCATTCTGGATTGTTAATTTTATCTAAATCATTAGCTGAGATTGAACCTCATTTTTTACCTAAGATATATATATATATATATATATATATATATATATATATATATATATATATATATATATATATATATATATATATATATATAAGGGATCAGGTGCGGGAATAGCTTCCCGTGTGGTTGTGCGGTTGGACGCACATTAAGCATTAAACTGACGCACTTTAAGTACACAACACACGCACATTAAGCACACAAACAAAACACCTTAAGAACACAAATCACGCACCTTAAGAACACCAACCACGCACCTTAAGCACATAACAAATCACCTTAAGAACACAAATCACGCAACTAAGATTTTAAAATGGTTCATTTTAAGTTTCACATAACTAATGCACCTTAAGCATACAAATCACACACCTTAAGATGAAAGCAACGCACATTAAGAATGAAACTCAAGCGCCAAAGTTTCAGCAACTACTCACATCAAGCACAAACCCACGCATCTTAACCACAAAATTAAACTCACACACCTTAAGCACAAAACTCACGCACCTTAAGCACAAAACCCACGCACCTTAAGCATAAAACTCACGCATCTTAAGTTTCAACAACTACTACCATTAAGTACACAACCCTACGCACCTTAAGTACAAACTTCACGCACCTTATATACAAAACTCACGCACCTTACTCAGAAAAATCATACACCTTACATTTGACCTAAATATAAAAAATTACCAAAATGCCACCACGTTTTTTATTTAATTTTGGTAATCTGAACGTTGATTTAAGAAAAATTAATGGTTCTCCTTTCACCGCACAACCGCACCCTCAACCGCACAGGAACCCCTTTATATATGGCATGTTAAGTGGCTCATTACCAGTTAAAAATGGCATGTTAAGTGGCTAATTTGGAGTACAATTATCAGTGGGGTCCACTTCTAATTTGGGTCTGGTCAAAGTGGATTCGGATTCTTCGTAGTGAGACGAATAGAATGATATATTGTACGCTCAAAACAGATAATGGGTGAATGAGATATTGATTCTCAAAGTAGACCCATTTGAGTTGGAAAAAGGAGGGAAAAAGTGTTGTTTTTGTCCGACATTGGTTTGGAAAATGGATTTGCACCATTATTTATACAAGAGGTCTTTTAAAGTTTATTGAATTATACATCATATAGGTTTTTTCTCGCGCGCAGGGGGTGCAAATCAAGAATGTCGTCCGGAAATTGAACAGCGAACCCTTCCAGTTTTGAATTCTGAATTTAATCTCACTTAGTGGGGCTGCTGTTTCAGGTGTTACAATTAATATTGCTTTAATTCCAGTTTTGAATTCTGAATTTAATCTCACTTAGTTAGGCTGATGTGGGTGTTACAAATTGGTTTTAATACCAATTTAAATGTCATATTGAAGGCTATCTAACTCCTCCAACCCTATATAAGAGATGGTAGAGTAGCAGGAAATTTACAGGAAAAAAAATCAAAGTTTTCCAACTCCAAAACCTCTGATCTACTCCTTTCTTTAGCCAAGTGTGTTCAATACTTTGCTTTGTTCGCCGAATTCTTTGTTTGGGTGTTCAAACACTGAAAACGTATCACATTTTATCCTGGAAAACCTAGGGTACAACGCTCCTAACACTTGTGGGAGGTAGCAAATAAAGTTTTAAGAAAAAGAACGATTTGTTTCAACTCGTGCCAACCACTATCTGAATCATCCACCTTTTCCTTCCCAATTTTCTGTTTTTTCCTATATAATAATAATAATCTTTTCATAGAGTTATTATTTTTGCGATTTTCCACCTTATTGTCCAACATATATAGCAAAGTATGAGTTCTAAGATTTTTTTTTTTTTTTTAAAAGTATAGAATAAAGACACATTTAGTTTGTGGAATTGGTTGGGAATACAGTAGGATTTTGCAGATTTAATTTATCTTAATTCTGTAGATTTAATTTTATAAAATGACTATTTTTATTTTTTTTTAGAAATGCACTAGACATTCTGAACCTATTTGGAAGTAACCATTTTTATTGACCAAACCACTCAAAAAAAAAAAAAAAAAAAAAAAAAAAAAAAAAAAAAAAAGTCAAATTGTGGGTCCCACCAAAACAGCTGGCTACTCGTAACTTTCGGTGCACCCAAAACAGAAATTTATGCTTTTGCTAAGCTAAACCCAGTGGCCACATGCAAAGCTCCGTTTCACTAAGAATGTTAAATTTCGATTATGGTAAAATATTATAAAATATTGATAGAAAGCTCACATAGCTTACATAAGCTACTAAAAAAAAAAAAGAAACACAATTAAATAATCAAACAAAAAAAAGTTTAATTTACTGATCAAATGAATTACAATTACATAATTATATCAAAATGACTGATGGTCCCTATTACTTATCAATTACTTTGCATTATATGACATCTTCACTATATTTATTTATTTAAATCTATAGTCCATGCCAATTGTCTTCTTCATTTTCAACAAAGATGTTTGAAAAGAGATTTCTATGAAAGGCATAGAAATTTGTCAACAAAAATTTTCTTATTCACAAGATACCATGAAAGTCAATTGAAAAACTTGAAAAAAAAAAAAAAAAAAAAAAGTAAATTGCCATTCTTAGATCTAAGATGAAGCTTTGTCTTAAATTTGAAATGACTTCATCTATGATGGAGACAGGAACTTTCACTTTAAGTTTGCTGAAAGTTGTGGTGAGGGTTTACAAGTGTAGGGAAAAGAAAGAAAAAATTGAGTAAACAAAAATTGAGACAAAAAAATTAAGAAACAAATTACACATAAAATAATACATCATCTATAACCAAACATAAAATTCAAATTCAAATTGATACATCATTCATAGAGTATTAACTCAATGAATTTCCAAACATACAATTATTCCATAAGTATGATTGCACTATTTTAAAGTGTACAAATTTGATAATATTTTGTTCTTTTAAAATTATAAACAAGAAATTTAAAAAAAAAAAAAAACAAAAATAGTCATTATACAAAAAAGAAGACGTTAAACAATTGATCGAAGAATTTTTTTTACATATATGATTAAATTACAACATTATTGGCCAATGACCTTGTGGTCTAATGCCATGAAGTGGCTCTCCAAAATGGGAAGTCATCTCTAGTAGGGTTATTGACTGTTTATGCTCCAGTAGGTTAAGAAAGTAGTTATGAGTATATATTATATTTTAACAGAGTAAATAGTACTCAAAAAAATTACAATATTATTTTTTTAATTAATTTAAATTCTCTAAACACAGGTGCTGCTGGTGTGGATATATGGATTACATATCATGCACTTTACACACTGTTCAGTCAACTTGTAAGTAGAATTTATTAGCCAAAAGTCTTGAAACCCAAAAACACAACTCCTTAATCAAATCCCCGTTGTCCGTATTCCTTTTAGTGCATGTTTGTCTCAGCTGTTTTCTATTTTCTTTTTCAGATGCAATTTGGAATTTCTTGAATTAATAAAAAGAAAAAAAAAAAAACCTTCTTTTTGAGCTGTTTAGAAAGCCTTGTTATGTTCTTATTGGCCCTACTTTTTCAAATAGATTAACTCCTCAAACAAGCAGAATATTTATTTAATTTTTTTTTTATCTAATCACATGTTTCTTCGACTAGTCAATTAAAGCTGCACATCAAAACTAATCATATTCATGACATTTAGTAAATTATGTGTGCAAACCTTTTTATTAAATGACATTTTGCTTAGATAATGGACAATTTATCTTTCACTATGTTAATTAAGATAAGAAATGACAACTTACCACATGTAATTAATGCATGACCATATTTGCCTCAACCCTCATGGCATGTTACCATATGTCAAACTAGCTTAGAACATAAATTACCAAATATAGAACAAGAGACAAAGAAGACAAGAAGGGAAATGCATTAAAAGTCAATCAATTTAAACTCTCAAAGTTTGACCAATCACACCTACAATTGACATTAATTAGAATGAAGTAATAAATGGATAATGAGACGAGTTGAAGATGTAAAAAATTCAACTCCCCAGTTGGCATGCATTGAATTCAAAATTGAAATTCACAAGACAAAAATTTAGACTTTGGTGGGCATCCCATTACTTACACAATACAAGAAAGAAAGGCCAAATGCAAGATACATTACTCCCTCCACTAGTACACTTTTGAACAAAAAGAATAAGGTGATGAAAGAAACAAGTGGATCCACTTACAATCACCTCATGTAACCCCAAATCCCCCCCCCCAACTTGATCAAGTTTCCACTACCATCTTCTCCCTATAATTCATTGCACAATTTTCTGAAAAAATCTTGAAAAAAAAAAAAAAATTATTAACACAATGGGTCACTCTCAAACTTCAATATCCCCGAAAACGGTTATGCAGGCCTTGATGACATGTAATGACGCACGCTTATTACCTTTACATCTTGCGACCGCCCTTTGTCTTTGGTGTGGGGTGACAATTAGGAGTCTTGAGGGGGCGTTTGGATGTCCAATCCTTTTGACGGATCATCATCTGTGTCGACTCTGTTGATCTCCTCAATCATCCTCACAACATCCGGCAGGGCAGGTCTTTGGTCTGGCACCATAGCAACACATGCCATTCCTATCTGAAGTAGTTGTACCATCTCTTCTTCCACATTATGGTACCGCATTAGCTCAACATCAAACACCTCAGCTGTCCATTCCTCCCTAACAACACTTTGGACCCATCTAGGCAAATCAATGCCTTCTTCGCCAAAAGACGCCTGATTTGGGGCTTTTCCCGTTAGAAGCTCCAATATCAATACTCCAAAGCTGTACACATCAGATTTGAACGTGGCCTTTCGGGTTTCAAGCATCTCGGGGGCACGATAGCCTGCAACCCTATGATTGACAGGCGTCGAGGTGGAGAACAGGGCGTTCAAACCATAGTCTGATACGCAGGCATTGTAGTTGTCTTGTTTGAGGAGGACGTTCGATGCCTTGATGTTGCCATGGATGACTTTACCCGAGACATGCAGATATGCAATGCCTCTAGCAGCACTTAGCGCGATTTTCATTCTGCTGTCCCAGTCTAGGGGCGTGCGGCCAGACCCTCTACTACCTGTAAGTATTCACCAAACCTCTATACTTTAGTTCCAGAACGGTAAACAATTTGTAAGATGGACAAAAGTTTAAAACCAAAAGAACTGGAAATAGTTGCAGTGCAGCAACAAGTCAGTTATCCAAGAAAAATGGAATGAATTTATGGCATTTTGGCAAGCTTATGAGTTAGCTTTACATTCCAAATTTGAATAATCACAAGACATATATGGTGAATGAAAAGAAAGGTAATCGAGATTGATTTAACAAGTAGACAATTATGACAGTCAGATTGCTTTGTAAATAACAGGTCTAGAAGTTGGGTATCAAAGTAACAACAAAGAGGGCATGATTGGCATAACATTTTGTGTGGTGGGTTTGAAACCTATTGCTTTGGCTGCCCTTCCATTAGCACTTGTGATTAAGTTGAAGACAGACAGACTAACTTAAGGTAAGAACTGGCATCTGAGATAGATCAGGGCATAGTTGAAAAACAGCACAAACTGTTGGGGCAATTTGGGAAAGGAAGCATTTTTCTATTGGATCATATAATAAAAGGTAGATCTGGAGGTATTCTTTCCTATATATTTTTTGCCCTTTTTTAATTTCTCTCAACAATTATAAAACAGGAAAGCATGTTGGTAGTGAACCAAGATTCATGGTGGCCCAGAGTAATGTAATGTTGGTCTTGTATTTCCCATGTACTATAATACTTATAATAATGTAGAAAGTAGAAACCATATTGTATTGTTCCCTTGGCTCTCTCACAGAGCTTGAGGAATTAAATCTGAGCAGCAACCACAATCTGCTATGCATAAAATAATAAATCTTTTCCAGCACAACCTTAGTATCTTAATTCCTAAATGCCCTTAACATTACATTAAAATATTGGCAACCAGCTGAAGAAACCAAGGAGTTTTGTGAATGTTACAACTGGAAACCAAATATCTAGGCACCAAACTTCAATAATTGAGGGGGGAGAATAACTCCAGTTTCCTGAAAGAGTCTAAATTATGGCAACAGTTTGGAGTCTGGGCAAATCAATGCAGGAAAGATTGCAAGCTAGGATGGAAAATGAAACACCACCATGAATTAATTAAATTCCCTCTTTAATAAATTCAAGAATTAAGTTGCTCTGATACGAAAATCCATTGTATTTAAAGTACCAGAATATATGTATTTATAAAGATGCACATAGTCCAAGTCACGATAAGATTGTTAAATGATATATTCTCAATAATAAAGGAGATGGAGAAGGAATTTTAGTTTCCTCAGATAAAGAGTCCTAATAGCTCCCACCAACAAAATAAAAAATAAAAAAAATGGAAATTTCCCCAAACCCATTCATGCTCAACTGGGAAGAATCAGAAGCAAATTAAATACCCAAATGTAGAAAAGGATTTTGCATCATAAATTTCATAGGAAGGCTAGGAAATGGCATAACCTATTGCCATAAAGATGAATTTTGAAATCAAGAACATCAAATTTTTCCATAAATCTTTACTTAAGTCCTATTCACAAGATCCATAATGTAGCAGGGGATGATGGTAAATTCAGAAAGTGGAAACAGGAAATTAGCAGAAATGGAGAAATATATATAGACAGAGAGAGATAGATGAAGAGAAGCATACCATGAAGAAGAGCAGATAAGCTACCAGCAGGCATGTAATCAGAGACTAATAATTTCTCATCTTTTGAGTAGTAAAAGGCTCTGAAAGGAAGCACATTCTCATTCTTCATCTTCCCCAAGGCTTCCATTTGCTGCTCGAAATCCTTCTTAGTCACCGCCACATCTTTGAGCCTCTTCACCACCACCGTTGTCCCCTCCTCCAACACCGCCTTGTAGCTCGTTCCCACGCTTCCCTTCCCCAACACCTCAGCCGACGCTCTCAACAAGTCCTCCAGATCGAAGCTGTACCCTCCTCCCCCATTGAAGAACACCAGCTTGTTCCTCTCCCCTTCGGCTGATCCACCGGTTAAGTCGTCCTTTGACGACGACGTTCCGGCTTCTCCTGCAGCGGCGGTGGCCCTCGCGGTTGTCGACGGCTTCTGCGTCTTGGGTTCCGGCCCTCTTCTCTTTCTCAGTAGGCAGAAGAAGAGGATGAGTAATAGAAGGACGAGTGCCAAGACGGAGCCAACTACGATTCCGACAATGGCGCCCGTAGAGAGCTTCTTGGAGTTTCTATGCTGCGGGGTGATTTGGTGCTGGGCTGAAGGTGAAGGCGCGGGAGATGGAAAAAATGGGTTGCACGGCGGCAATGGGCCGCCGCAGAGATCGATGTTTCCGGCGAAAGATGACACCGGGTACTTGGACAGCGTAGCAGGAATTGACCCATTGAGGTGATTATCAGAGACATTGAAATCAGTTAAGCTTGGAAGGTTGATGCTCGGCAGTGTCCCCTCGAACCCATTCTTCTGCAAGTAAAGCCTACTCAAAGAAGTTAAGTTGTTGAGAGAGAACGGGATTGGGCCGGCGAATTTGTTAGACGAGATGTCTAGGCGGCCAAGACGAGTTAACTCAGTAAGACCCGGAGGAAACCCGCCGGAAAACTGGTTGTTCTGAAGATAAAGGCTGCGGAGGAATTTGAGGTTAGTGAAGTCCTGCGGGATTGAACCCGTGAGGTGATTCGACCGGAGACTCAACACCCGGAGCTGGCTCAGCCTCCCTATGGTGTTCGCCGGAATATCCCCGACCAACCCAACACCGGGCAACCTCAGATAATACACAAACGATTGGTTGGCATTACAGCCGACGCCTACCCATGTGCACGCCGAGGTGGCCGGGTTCCATTGGACCCGAGTCTCGTGTGGGGTTCGCGACAAGAAAGCAAGGAGAGCCTGCTTGTCCTGTGTCGGCTCCGAGTTGACTCGGCACCGACTCAGCTGCTGGGACACCACCAAAGCCAAGCACAACAAAACAAGCCCAGACTCCGCAATCACTGCCATAACTCTCCCCTCCAAACCCAAAAACTATAATGTGAAACAATTATATATATCTCTGATGCTTTCAAATACTCAAACCACCAAAACTGAGTCCCCGGCGAGTTGCCATGAGAGAGGAGCGAGTTTTAGAGAGAGAAAGAAAAACGCCCGTGTTTGTATGTGAGAGAGACTGAGAGAGAGAGAGGAACTGTGGTTTTATATGGTTGGGCGGACTGCGGAGGAGGTGCAGAACACTAGAACTTTTTATTGGGCAAGTTTTTACGTTATTTTAATGGCGTTTGTACACACGCGATTCCTCAACGAGTGAAGATAAACAGTGAGGTTACGCAAATATGTACGGAGTAATACTCAATTATCAAAATTAAAATATACTCCCGTATTAATAGTCACCAATATCATACCCCGTAGTCCGTACTAGAAATTGAAGCCATCGTCTACAGCATAGCATGTATGAAATTTGACTTAATATTATCTGAGGTCCTCCGAGTATAATAGTTTTGCCACGTTTAGTTCTAAATTTTCAAATTGACCATATGTAATCCTTCGACTTTCAAATTTAACCATTCGTGGTCAAAGTTAACCACTCATGGTCATTCAAGTTTCAAAATTTAACCAGTCATGGTCCTCTTGAAAGGACCATGGTTGGTTAAAATTTAATAGTTGAAGGACCATGAGTAGTTAACTTGGACCACGAATAGTTAAATTTGAAAGTCGAAGGACCATAGATGGTTAATTTGAAAGTTTAAGACTAAATGTGGCAAAACCACTATACTCGTAGGACCTTGGACGGTATTAACTCTATGAAATTTAGCTCACTCCAATTTCGGTTCCGTTTGAAAGAATTCGATTTGAGACTTTATATTTCTTATTTCTCTTGTGCACATAAATATATATTTATTTTCATTAATAATTTAAAATTCAAAATATAAACAAGTCCAAACTAAACCAACATCTTCACCTGCGTTTTGTGTCTATAACGTCGTAAACTTGGCAACTTGCAGGGAAGGGAACAAAGAAATTTGTCCGCACGGGCTTAGCTCAATAGTTTAGTGGGCAGTATTTGAGAGAAAAGACTAATGTTCGAACCTCGGTGGCGACAGTGAGTCGCCGTGATTTACATACTCTCAAATACTCTGTCGGTCTCTAAGGTTGGGGATTCAACCTTTTGAGGGAAGTGAACAAAGAAATTAGAATTTAGATAATTAGGGATTCGGTATATATATTTGGTTAAATTTGTAAATTTAAAAACATTTGGGTATAAATAAATTATATGTTTATTACTTTATTATATATATATATATATATATATATATATATATATATATATACACACACACACACACACACTAATTGATAGGCAATATATTCCCAAACTCGTACTTGAACATACCGTATACCTAGATATACGGGTGGGTCGCCGGGAGGAACCCGGGAGGAATTATTCCCGACCAACTACCAACCTCGAGCAACTTGGCCCAACCTACACTTTGGCATATGTTCCCACATCTCCTTAATAAATAGTGCATTAAATGCAGGGAGAGAGGACTTTTGGACACCTCTATTTAGCCTTATTTAGCTCGGGACCCTCTGGCCTTACGTCTTCGCTCAAGCTTAAGTTTTAAACCAATAAGCGGACTAGAGAAAGATCCACCTATGATCCGACCACTGTATTTGTACGTATTTACAAGAGCTATCGTATTTACCACATCATTTTGGCGTCGTCCGTGGGGATCGGTACATAACAAGTTGTTCGTTGCATTCCTACCGACCTCCAACATGTATCCATACCTCAACTTCTTCAACGAGCCTGCACCCCTATCGACCTCCAACATGTATCCATACCTCGATTTCTTCAACGAGCCTGAGGGTGAAGACAGCAGCTCGGACTTACGGTCCCATTTGAACTCCTGAATGTCTTAACCAAACTCCAATGAGGGGAGCGCCTCCACCCGAACATGTGAACGTAATACACCAAGGACCCACGTTCCCGACGACTCCCGGTCAAATGTCGTACCCATTTTTGATGAATCCGTCTGGGATACCTTATCCGACCTTTTCGTGGTAGCAAAGTTCACCTTTGTTCTACGCTCTCACATACCCATACCAGCTCATGCCACCGATGTACCAGCAACCATTATACATGACACCTCTAGTTACACTAGAAGCTGTGCCCACCCAAGGGCTCGGGGGAAGGGAACCTGAGCTCTGGCGAGCGTATTCCGAGCGTAAGGCGCCTTCAGGTAACCATGAGCACTCTTCCCAGCCTCGCCGACCAGTGCAGACTCGGTTAGGCTCGGGGGGGCGGGGGGGGGGGGGGGGGGACTGCCATCTGATTCCAGCTCGAGACGTAGCGCCTTTGATCGGATTTAGTGTAACACCCCACTTTTCTTAAATCTAAACCACAAATACTTAACTTCTAAAGATAATCTAGACAAGATTAAAATGAGATTTATAACTTGAAACCGTCCAAAAGGGTGTCACCGCCATAGCCACCACACATGATGACTGCATAGGCTAAGAAAGATACTAACTAGAGTCAAGCTCATCAAATACTACATCCATACTTGGGGAACAAAACCCCGGAGTTCAACACCAACAACAACTAACAAAAGTATCTAAACATCAGAGTTTAAACATCATCATCCAAATCAAAGTCTATAGTAGCATTAACATCTCATAATTACGCGCTATACTATCTCGTACGCCCTCAAACACTGGGCCCACCTGAAAGGGGTTAACAAACAAGCAAATAGAAAACAACCTGTTAGCACGAATGCTAAGTATAACGCCACTCAACCCTGTAAAGTACTAAAGATATACTTTTGGAAAACATTTGGTATTCACACTTAATCTCAAGTACTTTGCAATCACTTATACAACAATCTCATAACATGCTCATAAACAACTCTAGATGCTTGCAACGTATTCAACATATAAAACATGCTTTCTCAAGTAATCAACTTAACGCAATTCTCATGCTTTAAACAGATATTTCAAATCACAACTCATCATAATACTCATGCTCAAACTGATAGATAAGGAGGTACTTAAACTTAACAAGCAAGCTAATGCTATCATGCCAACATCATAAACATTAACAAAGCGCTATACTTCTCATCATACTTTAAATGTAAAAAGTGCAAATCATGCAACAAGAAATGTCATGATGCGTTATATATATATATATATATATATATATATATATATATATATATATATATATATATATATATATATTCTCGCTCTTATGTAAACAGAAATACTTTTTCTGTGGAGGTTTCTGTTGAGTCACATTGACTTGTTTCTATCTTCTTTCCCAATCTTTCTCATATTTCTCGTTTCTCTTCTTGTGCGAGGCAGGTACTCCGCCGTAGCGAAGCCCTAGCGTACGGTGCAATCTCGTGCATCCGGCACATCTGTATCAACGAAACCTCTAAATCGTGGGGGAGGTATGACCTTCACGACTCGTGAATGGACCTATACAGACTCGGCAATCTAGCCGGCTTAATACTCAACTCGCCCATAGAACCACTCTATTGGTTCTTAATCTTTCTTTCTTTCTTTCTTTCTTTCTTTCTTTCTCTGTGGAATTAGGTATCGTACTTTTAGTGTGCACACTCCCTAACTGGGATTCCAAGCCGAGCGGGTAGTATCCAACCTAGTAACTCGGGAATATCGACCTCGTTACTTCTAAATATCTGTCTGTCCTCTGTGACCGTTTCTTACTCAGGAATATCGACCAAGTCACTTTCATATATCTCTTTCGGTTCTCATTGACCGTTTCTTTCTTTTCTCAAACTTCTTTCTTTCTCTTTTCTTCTGAAAGGACATAGTCCTAACGGTCCTCCAAAAATAAGTTTTTCTTACAATAGATAGATATCATATATATCTCATGCAACTTCTTTCTCATGCAATAAATCTAACTTATGCAAGCTCATGCACATAATTTCTCAACAACTTCACTTTTCTCACAAATTGGGAATCATATATCATGCAAACTTCTCAATGCAACAAGATAATGATTTTCCAAAATAGATATAGATTTTTGATAGAAAACTTAGGCTTACTAAGAGCCAATGATGCACTTTAAATCATGAAATGCTAACATGTTCTATTACTGTAAAGAATAACTCAAATTCTCTTTCACTGTGAAACAAGCATACGAAGTGCTACTTCATGCTTATAACTCCAAACTTGACAAATCTTCTTAGAAAATACTTAGCAAGTATTGTTCATGCTCTTTAAACTCAAATTATACTTCATACTCTAGTAAAACTCATTTACTGTAAACTAAGAAATCATGCTCTGGACATATCAAATTCTCACATTCTTGGCAAGACTTCTCAATAAGTCATTACAACTACTTAGGCATGCTATTCAAGCAAAACTCATCAATAATGATCATGCTTCTTTGTTCAGATAACTAAGCTCAATTACCTCAATCTTTCTTTCACTGTAAATGTAACACCCCCGATTTCCATACCAATTTAAAACTTAATCATGCAGATAATCTAACCATAAGAAGCATACACAGCGGAAGTCTAACTATTAAATAGATGGAAAACGTAGAGTGTTATGCCACGTCCATGTTACGGTGAACGCACAGGCGTAAACAACATGAACATAATCTGTCTACAAAGGATAAGGTCAAACAACAACAAGTCTAAATCCAACATGGGCACACAGGTCAAAACAGCTACAAAGACTGAGGGATCTATACTATCCATCACTAGGCCACGCTCGCTTCTACTCGGGACCTGACAGAAACACATAATTATATGGGACGACGCCCGGTCAGCGAATGATGCTGGTAACCCACCAATACATGTCAAAAGCATATATAGATAGATAGTATATACAAAATCATTTCGAAACAGAATACTGCATATAGAGGTTCAAAATCAAAGATGGAAGTCAACCACAAGACTCTATATCACTCACAACAAGTACAAGGGGAAACACATCCCAAAAACACATCAAGACATGAGCAACAACAGAACAACTCAACAGTGCACAAGGTGTAATCTACTGATCACAAAGTAGAATACCCCTTGGCATACTCAACATATAAGGATAAACATCTACACACTGGCACTTCATGCCACAATAACACTTCATGTCATAAGTATCACAGTTCCAAGTTCCAACCTTATGCCCTGTTCCAACCTTATGCCTACCCCCGACTTTATTAAGGTTCCAACCTTTACCTCCG